GAGACAGTGTTCCAGGAAGAGGGAGTAGCATGTGCCAAGGCGCTGAGGTAGTGGTATTTACAGTAGAGGACTCCACTTCAAGAAGGGCAGTGAGGGGGTAGGGGGGAATGACATTGGAAAGGTTACTAGAGCCAGGTTGCTAGGCCTTAGAGTCTTTTGACTTTCATTCTGAAAGAGATAGGAAGCCACTAGGGCAGGCATTCTTATTTCATCTTAACCTTTTTGGGGGGGTTGTGAACGTTTTTGTCTACTGAATCCTTCTGATACCTTTTATAGAACAATGCTTTAAATACATAAAATCCAGGGAATGTTAAAGAAACCAGTTACATGAATATATATTGTGTTAAGTTCCCCTGAAAGGAACGCACATGCTATGATTCACATTTGCAAAGGATTCTCTGGCTGGCTGCCTTAAAGAGCACAGCCTGGAGGACAAGTGAGATGGGGCCAGGGGCAGTGCTGGTCCGTTATCCCACAGGGCACCAGCCTGCAGTGGGATTGTTCAGCAGTCTTTTTTTCTTTTTAATTGTATTTGGTTGTTGCAGGGTTTCACTACACAGCTCGGACTTGTGGTGATCTTCCTGCTTTCAGCCTTCCCAGCACTGCAGTTCCAGGTGTGCACCATCACCCCCAGGCTTGGTCACCAGCTCAGCCCATCCTGGGGGTGGGACTGGTGGGCATGTGGTGCTAGGGTCGAACTACAGTCCCTGCACTTGCCTGAGCTTGTCTAATCAGGCAATTTAGTCCACTGAGCTATCTCACCAGCCCCCACAGTCTTTCTGAATACAAGAAGAAAAATATATAACTTTTAGTTAGATGAAGTTTATAATCTTTTTTACTGCAAGAAGAAAAAATATATAACTTCTATTTATATCTAATTTGCCCTCATTCTTTTTCATTGTTCTATTGAATATATGTTTTCTAATATTCTAATATATTAGGACATCAGTCTGTTTTATAGAATTTATGAATAAATCTACATATATTGGAGGTTTGTGCAAGGAAAGTGTTTTTGTTGGTGGTGTTTAAGCAATCCAATCTGATTGTCTTGGCTTAGGCAGTGTGCTCCTATAAGAAAGTAAAAAACGCCTCACTGGTTTACAGCACACTCCATGTCACAGACATTCATGGGAGAGTATGGTTGCTTGCCACAAGTCACCCTTGCTAAGTGTCAGTTGTGTTTCTCAAGCACCTTCACCTCTCCTTAAGATCCCTCATCCACTGTAAATTGTTTACACCCAATTAGACCTACTGTCACCTATGAGGTGGCATGCACCCCCCCACATGCAAGTTTTCTGATGTTACCAGCAGGTAGGAAAAGTGATTTCTTGATATTCTCCCTAAAATTCAGGAGGCTGCGAGGAGAGGCCTCTGCTGGGTGTGCTCACCCTCTTGACTTCACACTCATGTATCTTTGGGACTTGAGTCTTGTAAGAGTCAGTCACCTGCCTGTCACTAACAAACCTCCAAACATTTTCTTACACTCTTGTGGTGCAGCAGGCCACATGGCTGTTTCATCCTAGGCACAGTATGGGAGTGTTGTGTAGGGGCATACCACTCCCTGTTTTATACCCAGGAGGAGTATCTGGAGGGGAGGAGTAGAGAAGGGAGGGTGGGCGAGAGGCTCTTAAGGAACCTTATTGTGGCCACCATTGCCTTACCCTCATCATACACAAAGAAAACATTTTTATCTTTTCTTTTACAAATATAGAAATTATTTTAGAAAGAAAGATAGCCAAGTATTTTATAAAGAGCAGAGATCTTCCAGTAGCCTATTAGGATAAAGACAAATGGTGAGTGGCTCCAGGTGGGTTCACTCCTCAGCACAAGCTGTGGGCTAGGATCCAGGGAGGTCATGCTGAAAATAATGACAGGAAGGCTGTCGCCTGTCAGCCTCACCAGTAGAAACTGGCTGGTGGAACTGGGTACAGAACCTGTTCAAGCCCACTGGGCCGAGGCTCTCACTAGGCGGCTGTATTCTGGGTCCCATCTGTTTTCTCTGTTCCTCTGAACCCTGAGCCATGTGTGCTACAGACACTGTGCCCTTGTTTGATTGAGTTCTTCCATGATTGTGTTAAATTTCATATTAGTATTCTCAGAAATGGAAATTTGAAGGTAAACTGATTAGACATTGGAGAAAGTTTGCTGAATCACTACAGTGTAACTTGGGTAAAATGTCAGGGCACAGAGAGGCCTGACCTCTGTATTATTCTCTGTAGCAACTGGCCAGAAGCAAAACACAGTGGTAGGCGATAACAGTCCGAGCCACATCAGCCTTTCTGCAGTTCCTCTAGGGCCCGTGGCAAAAGGGACAGTCACTAAAAGGACTCTGAGACACAGTAGTTCTTGGGTAGGCTTGTTAATATGTGCTAAAAAAAAATTCTTGGAAACAACAGAAACCTTGATATGATTTGCCAAAATAACACAGAACACAGTTAATTGATTTAACAAAAAGCAAATAGTTTGTAATAAAAAAAAGTGCCCAGAGGCATCCCCTTCAGTCTCCTTTATTCTCTCTGTCCTTCCTGTGCCCTCCAGCATGTGGTTGCCTGTGAGGAATAGGTCAGTTCGATTATGGGACTGATTTTTGGGGACTACGTGAGTCAGCTTGTTGCTGCAGAATTTCATGGGATTTCCTAGGTGCTTTGTTGTGTTTGGGATATGTTTGGTCCCAAAGGAGCCGGTAAACTCCAGTTTTCCTTATATTTTGAAGGTCTTTGAGAAGGAGAGACATTTTGAATGTTTGAAGTCTTGCATTCCTCGTTCTCCTTATGTATTTGTTAGTGCCAAATTACCATGAGAAATAACAGAGCCTACACGGTGCTTGGTGACTTCCTAAACAGGGCCAGTGCTTCTCTCCAAGACACTGGAGTCTCTTAGTTCCCACCTCAGCATCTCCTTATTTGGAACAAACTGAAGGTGCTCAGGCTTTCAAATCCACCCTCCATCAGTATACTATAAAAATATTTTCAACTAAAATATTTTCCCGTATTTAGGCTGCCCAGAGTGACTCTAGCCTTGAGTGGAGCTGTTTGAAAGTTTTTAGGGACTGCTAGTTAGACCTTCCTCCCTTGCCACTACTGCAGAAAGGGAGAGCCAGGGGAATTCAGGTGTAAGAAATATATCTCCTGTGTGACCTCCAAAAGCACACAATGAATGTGGCTTTATTAATAAGCCCATCCCCATTTAGCAGATAAAGACACTGAGGTCTGAATTCCACAAGGTCTCCAATGTGCTGACCTCAAAGCGTCTGTGTTGCCTTCACTCAGCTACCTTTGCTTTAGCAAGAGCATCTTCTCTACACTTTGGCTTTAGGAGCCAGAAGGTGAACTTTGAACATTGCTTAGTGATTCTTTTTTTCCTGGTCCCCTCCTGGGCTTCCAGCCCTCCTTCCTGTTCTCATGGTCCCCTTTAAAAGAAAGGCCTGTGTGTCACATTCCTCTTCTCCATGGGTCTTACAGAGCAGCAGCTCACTGGGGCACCGATTTAATGAAATAAAAATTTCAAGCATGTTTGGCTTGATTCTAGATGATACAAATAGAGAATCGTGAATGCTTTGTAGCTGAGTTTAAAGGGAAGGGAAAGGTGGAAAGTAGGTCAAGTATAGTAACTGGGTAATGTCTTCTTAAGAGAGGCATAGTGAAGATTTAGCTCTTAAAAATGGAGAGATAAATGGCACATTCATAGTACTTTGGCAGCTCCATATCCTGAAATTTTGAATTATGCAGTTTATAATATTTGCCAGTTGTATTATTTAATATGTCCCAGCAACTGATCTAATGTATAATTTATATGGATATTGATTTATTCCTCCCTAACACTTTGAAGTACATACTGTTGTTATTCCATAAAAACTACAGCTAAGGGAGGTTCATTAACTTGTCCAAGCTTAGATGATTACCCAGGGTTGCTGAACCTTGCCCAGGGTTAGGCAGTCGGTAGCAGGAGTGGCACCCACCCTAGAAACATTGGCTGGAAAGCTCTTGACCACTGTACTAACCTGCCTTTCAGTGACAGTGCTCCATTGCACGATTTCATGGGGTTTCAGAGATTATTTTTCTTTGTAATTAGAACCAGTGCAGCATACAATTGGAAGGGTAAATATTTGTCATGCTTAGTGACGGACATGATGGGTTAAAGAGAAAGGTCTAAGACAAAGTCCTGTACTTTCTCTTACATATTCCTCCATCTGTGTTTACTCTAGGAAAGGTCATTTGAGCACAAGTGCTCAGATTTCATGCTTCTAAGCAACTTCTCTGTGGCTAAAACCTTGCTCTACAAATAGGCTTTTGAAATATTTGTAATAATGTACATTGTTCTTTATTATGGACAGTTGGTCATTAAATTAGAGGCTTCTGAACTGGGACTTTTATGGCAGTATTTTTCAAAAGTGACAGAAGTCATCAAGCAATTTTTGTTTTGCTCCCAAATGGTAGCCCTTCTCTGATGGCATCCATTGGAGGAACATTTACTGGAAGAGACAGTGGTTCTGGGAGAGCCAAGCTGTTTGTCTTGTCAGGTGTCTACCTAGCTCTGGTTTGTGGTGGAAGATGGGGGAGGGAGGATAGTAAAAAGGTAAATGGGAAATTACTGTAGGATCTTGAGAAAAATAGAATTAGAAGCATTTGTGGTTCAGATGAAAATAGCACCTTTCCTTTCCTTTCTGCTTGGACTGTGGGGGTCAGAGTGCTCCAGGGAATCAAAAATAAGTAAAGTTGATCCTTCTCTAGTTGAAGGAAATATTCTTTTTTTTAAATTTTTTTTTCAAAGGAAATATTTTGACTCTGGGAACTAAAATGACAGCTCTAGATTGGAAGATATTATGAAACTATGTTTGGAAAAAGGAGACTCAAAAAAGAGAGACTGGCTGGGCCACCATGTTAGTAGATGTGGTGTTTGGAGAATGATTCATGCAGCCCTTTTCTGATACTGGCCCCACTAAGCAGGGCCTTGTGGAGTGCAGGCTATTCAGTACTCACCAGGACCTTTTTCTTTTTCAGGTGAGAAGCCTTACAAGTGCTCATGGGAAGGATGCGAGTGGCGTTTTGCACGGAGTGATGAGCTCACAAGGCACTACAGGAAACACACAGGTGCAAAGCCCTTTAAATGCAACCACTGCGACAGGTAAGGGGATGGAGAAGATGCTCAGGCAGGGGAGGAGGATGGGATGTGAATTGGAGGATGGCCCGTATGTGGGCTCTCGGATTGGTTACCCGCAGGTCTTGCAGATCATTGCCCTTGGAATTGCCCTTTATTTCTCCACTGAGAAAACCAAAAAGAGAGTGTGTCCTCCTGCATGTTATCAAGAGGTGGCATGAGTTCCTGATTCTGCTTCAGAAGCATTAATTAGCTTAGGCCCAGTGCTAGTCACTGAGTGTCAGCAATAGTTCCTCACTTCAGGGAGGCAATGTGACAGGTAAGTTTAGCATAATAGGAAAAGTAACAGGGTAGAGAATGATCACTAGTGGCTGCTGCTTATGATCTTTTTATTAGCGTCAATACTGCTTTCCCTCATCCTTCATAATATTAAAAAAAAAATAGAAAGCTTGCTTAACAGCAGAGTGATTACTTCATAAGGCTTTACTCTGAAGTATTATTGAAAATGAATTTACTTAAAGTCCCCATTCTTTGGAGATCTGAACCAGTCTTCCCCTTTCAAGGCAGTCCAAGGAAGGGCCCAGAAGACAGCAGTGCCTTGAGAACTCACCTTGTAATTCAGTTTCTAACCCTTCAGCATTTGATAGTGGAAGGAGGAGCACATAGCAACAGATACTGCCCAAGTAATAGTATCTGACAGGCCTGGCCTTATCAACCAATAAACCCCAAAATGGAGACTCTGCAGGCCAAGGTGAAGGCAGGATTAGGTTTAGACATAATCAAATAACGGGCTTGCATCTGAGCGTGTTATTCTTCTAATCCTATTTCTGTGTTTAAAAGGAAGCTTAAGAAAATTAACCAATTTTAATGCAATACTAAAGGTCTCGGTTATGATGAGAAAAATGCTTCTAATATGATAAAAGCCCTTGAAAGCCTCAGGGTTCCCTGGCTTGGGCAGTAGCTCCCAGGATGGCAGGAGGGACTGCACAGGATGTCAGTAGGGGTCTGGCTGTCCTTGGGAGGAAATACAGTGGCGTTCACATCCTGCCCGCCCACCTCTTGTGTCCTGCACCTCCTGCTGGCCAGGCTTTCCTCCAGAGTGTGCTTGGCAAGCGGGCCAGAGGTGTCCAAGGCTCGAGGTGGGCCAAGTTGGTGTGGTGCTCCTTTAAAATGCTTACGAAGGATCAGTTGTGTTTTTCCTCCTTTTTCCTTCTTCCGGAAGAGGCTATTTTCCTCTTATCTTCATTCTTTGAGAACTAAATAAAGACCCCACGCCTCCTGCAGCCTAGAGATAGCCTACCCTTCTCCCCTCAGGCCCGCACGGAGGAAGTACACTTTGCACAGCAGCGATTGTCTCCTGCTCCCCAGGAACTCTGTTGTGCTGCCCATGAACACAGCTCGTGGTTTCGTTTCCTTTCATCCCTCAAAGTCCCCCTGAGTATGTGAATCAGCAGCTGTCCTTTCCAGAGATGTCCCAGTGGAGTTTCTCCTTGTTTGATATCTCCCTTCAGTTCTCATCTCAGGGTTCCCTGATTCATTCCTTTCTATCCCTGACTAATAAAGAAGTCCTGCAAGCAGTGACTGCCCCTGGCGATAGCTGGGAAGGCAAAATTCCATGTGGTCAGCTCACATGAGATTGAATTCTTTGTGCACTGTCACAGCAAGATGGCAGTAGGGACACACCCATCTCCACAGGGTGTTGAGGCTGTTACTTGAAGTCTGCATGTTGGGGCTTCTCCACTCTTGAAAGAGGACAGAATTCTGGGGAAATTACCAGTGTTTATATTCCTCAGTTCAAAACCACTCACTTGCGGAGGAATTTCCAACTTCCCAGCAGTCCATAATGTATTATCAGTCAGTCTGGCCACCATTTGTGTGACTTTAGTAGAGAGGTTTTCCAGATGATTCAGGAAAGGGGGTCATCCACAGTACATGATTTGGTGAGTTTTTGCTTTATTGTCTTCATCAAAAAGCACTAGAGTTTGGGGAGCTAGCAGTTTGCTGGGAGGATGGTAAAGATTCTGCGACGTGGCCCCGAGGGAGATGGGCATGCATCAGAGTCCTGTGCCACAGACCAGTACTACATTTCCAACAATGTCAGAAGTGAGAGGCGGGATTTTCCTGGTGTCTGGCAGCAGGCAGTACCTTGCATCTCCATCGTGGTGAACATGCTCAGAGAAGGGTCTGACAGGGTAGAGGGGGATATTGGAATGACCCGTTTTTCCTGCCTGGAAAGGGAGACCTGGACAAACCAGGAAGGTGGCAGTCCTCAGAAATAGGACACCAGCAGCCCTCAGGAGGACCCGGTGCTCTTTTGGGGCCCCGTATGGCTATGTGCGCTCCTTGTTGCCTCTAGAAGTGTGAGCAGTGAGACTATTCTATTTAGAAGTTAAATAGGGTTTGAGCTTCCTTTCCTTGCACATGTGCTAAGCCTAATTTATGCTCTTATTTTATCCATAGAAAAGTTTTGAAAAATGCATTCACTGTATTTATTTTGCCAGTAGTTATTGAGATTGTTAAATGTCACAACAAAAAAGTTTATATTTCTGGCTGTGTCTGGAAAAAAAAGCCAGCTCTGCAGTGCTGGGCTCACATGGCCACATGACTATCAGTCACTGGGGCTAAATAGCCACACTGTCCATTTGCTGTGGCCAGGGGGTGACTACTTTTCCACTGTCGTTGCCAGTACTTTTTGCCTCCTTAACATGGAAGCATCATTTGTTGCCAAATAGTATGCTACTTGCTCTGTGGTTTCTTCTTCCAGAAAGAGCGATTTTTTGGTATGCCTTTATTACAAGTGAAAAGCGATAAGCCAAGAGTTACATTTAGCTGTTGGACTTACGTCCTTGATCTCGCAAGCCCTGGAGACCCTGGAGTCTGTCACCTCTGGCTTCAGGTTTCGGTTGGGGAGAAATCACATTCGGGTGGTTGTGCTCTTCCTTACTGTGAGACCAAGCTGCGTAGCACACTGAATGGCCTGTTACAGGAGGGATGAGTTGTCCTCCAGCCTACAGAGCACCAGGCTGCTGATTGTAGTGAACAGGGCTCTGCTCCCCTCTGAGGCCATGCGCTGCATTATGCGATCCACTCAGCAGAGCTCTGGGCCAGGGGCACTGCTGCCGGGGTAGAACAACCCAGGTCTTGGCCCTTTTGATCTTTGTAGCAGTGCACATATAGGTGGTAAGAAATATCAGCTAGTCCCTTAGCCCTCAAGTGCTCTAGAGGGTGGCTGTTGGTGTAATTCCCGTATGACTTCAGTGTGTCTTTTTTATAAGCATGAGAAATGATTATGGGGCTTGGCTAGTCCTCTTGAATGTACAAATTTCAATTATTAAGAATCTTCTAATTTAAGGTCACCTCACTGCTATATAGTCATAAACACTCCCCTGGGGTATAGTGCCCTTAAAATTATTTGATTCTGCATTTCTAGATGCCGAGTTTATCTATCACCTTTTATTATTCCTTTGTGGAAGTCAGGGACAAATATAAATTAACAAATATAAATTAATGATGAGTGAGTATCTTGCTGCCGTATTGAATTTAAATAAAAATCTCAATGGTGAGGAACCTGGCTTAATTCTCAGCATATATTTTCTAGAATTTGTATAAATAATGACGTTAATTTGATTCAGTAAGGGTACAGTTATATCTCATACCACATTAAAGAACTATTTTGTTTATTTCTACTTTTTCTCCTGACAACGTCTGTAAAGTAAGGGCAGATACTTGTATGTGTATCCTGCTAGATAACTAGCAACTTGGAAAGGAAAGGCTGAAGACATACATGACTGAGTAGTTCTTTCAAATGAACTTCTACACCAAGAATTTGGTGTTTTCCTGAAAATTCCCAGAACATAGAAAGGAAACTGAAGAGGTTTTATCCACCGTTGAGACTTCTGTTCCTTCTCACCATCTGGACCCTCTTCACTCCTTTTAGTCAGGTTTCCTGGTACCTACTTTGTTGCTTTCTCATAGGTGCTAGCTGCTGAGATCTAACCACTCAACTTCCAGGTCCATGTTCTCTCTGCCTGCATGACCAGTGATCATGCATTGAGTATTGTGTTTATTTACTTTACAAGTTTGATATCTTACCATTCTATACACAAAAAGTCCCACTTAGGTGTCCCTGGGTCAATGTTGAGGAGTCTGTAGGACAGTGTTTTCCCCAATAGCTGCAGTATGGGAAAGGCTGCTTCATCATTGGTTTACAATTCCAGATCCCATCCTCAAAATGGTCCAGCCCCTCTGCGGTTTTCTGTATGATTATCCTCCAATTCCCTCTTCGGTTTTTAAGGATCATTCTGATCGTACTGGTCCCTCCTAGATAATCTAGGATTATCTCCCTACTTGAAGCTCAGTTGACTAGTAAATTAATTCCATCCACAAATGCAGCCCCCCTTTCCATGTCACCCAGTAGAACATGGGTTCTGAGGGTGGGGGCAGTGCTGCCTATCACAGGCTCCTTACATTGATAACTCAGTTTCTCTTTGTCTCAGGCTAAAAAGCAGCTGTGGGTAGGAGTATGGGCTTTTAGAGTCAGACTACTGGGGCTTAAATCCTGGTTTGGCTACTGTCTGATGAACATCTCATCTAGTACTTAAGATAAATATATTTTGTTTATAGAGTTCTTTGTGGGGATGTTAACCTCAAAAAAGAAGTACCTACAAAGAGTACCTCCTAATTTAGATTTTGTTCTCTAGGTTATTAGGATAAAGGAAGAAGGGAAAGAAGGAAAGGAGGGAAGGAGAGGGAGGGAAGGAGAACAGGCAGTGGACAGTGTTCAACTGAGCTCCATGACAGGGCAAGTTGAGTGCTAAATTACCTACAGGCTATATAACGTCTTCAGTATGCCAGGTATGTACCCCTGCTTCACAGCAAGTCTAATCTTCTGTAGAGATATCTGTAGGGTATTATCCAAATATCTTGCTTTCACCAAATCAAGGCCTGAATAAGTGGGTATAATGGGTATTGTTATTATTTGGTATGCTGTTCAGTGCTTCAGATTTTTTTTTGCTGCAGTTTTCCCATTCTTACCAGTTTTCATTGTGCTTCTATCCTGTCTCACTTTGTCTCCTTGAGATATTATCCTATACATGTACCTATTTAAGGAATGGGCTCAAACATAGTGTGAGAATGTTGGGATAAGGTAATCCACAGGGTGGATTTTTTTATTTTCTTGGTTTTTGTTTCGTTTTTGTCTTTGAGACAGGGTCTCACTATGCAGTTCATGCTGGCCTTTAGCTCACTTTGTAGCTCAAACTAATATCGAACTCACAGAGATCCTCTTGCCTCAGCCTCCTGAGTCCTGGGATTACAGCCATGTGCCACCTTGCCCAGCCCTGATTTTCTTGTTTTAAGAATGAACAAACACAAGGAAGTCCTGCTTTGAGCAGAAAGTGTTATTAAGATGAGCTAGGCATCTTACTAACATCATAACAGAGATTGTGGGCAGTGGGGGTGTCTCTGCCTTCAGGGGAGCCTAGACTATTCTCATAGGGAAAGAAGAGGCTTGTTTGCAGAGTAGGAGCCCAAGGGAGAACACCTGGATCCAAACAGGATCATTCCTCAGGTGAATCCGGGCTGAGACTGTAGGGTGCTAGGATAAAGAAAAGCTCACACTATTAGTTATAAGATACAGAAACCTGTTTCAGTCTGGTGTTAGCATCAGAGGCTATCCATTAGCTCAAGTAACTAGCAAGAGCAGAATTAGATTTGGCCTTAGCGTTGGGTTCTAGACATTGTCTTCAGATCTTTGCATCCTCTTGCCATGCCTCCCATTACTTTTTCTCTGTAAATTTCCTGCTCTGGCAGGGTATTGTCCACCATGGCTCCAGGCTGGTATCTTTGGAGTTTAGAAATCCCAGAGGAAAGAGAGCTTCTGTATTCCAATAATTTCAGGAGCTGTCTAGGCCACACCTCTGTGAGTCACATAACTGCCCCTTCATGGCAGAAGTAAGCTCCATATTTCTGAGAATGTCAAAGGTGGCACCCAGGGGAAGAGCATGTGACACCTGAATCCATAGTGATGCTGAGAAGAACACTTAAGCAAGAACCATGAGGACCAACACGTAGTCCAAAGAGTGGGCTCAGATATTTGTTCATGCACACAGTTTGAGGTCCCTCACCAGAGAAGGTTGCTAAAGATGGTACTGGGGTGATACTGAGGGACCCCCCCACACCCAACATGGTGCCTGCATATTATTACATACTCAATAAAAGCAAGTCTTCCTCCATTCTTTTCCTTGGCTTGAATGTAGTGTCTGCAGGGGTCTATCAGTATCTCAGGCAGCATTTCTGGGCCGAGTACAGAAATCTAGGTATTGAAATGTCAGAGTTGGACTATCCAGTGATACAAGCTAGTTATTCTTTACTATATTTACAGTATATGAACATTGATGCATGTTTTCAAAACACATTCACATTCATTTCTTCTTGAACAGTGACAATTCCAATAGCTTAACAGGCATTGAGGTCTTACTATGTGCCAGGCAATCTTCTGAGAACTTGACATAAATCGTCTCATTTAATTCTCACAAGTAACCTGAGAGAGCAGTGCTGTGAATGTCCCCTTTCACAGAGGAGGAATTAAGGCCAGAGAAGTTAATGAACTCAAGGTTACAGCTGTTGGAAGATCCCACACTCAACTCAGCCCCCCAACACCCCCACCCCACATTCACTCATGTTCAAGATCTCTTTCAAGTGAGGTTCATAGTTTCCTAAGGGGTGTTGGAAAAGAGTTCTTCCCCTGGGTGTTGCTAACATCCTCACTATTGTTTGTGTTTTCCAGGTGTTTTTCCAGGTCTGACCATCTTGCCCTCCACATGAAGAGACATATCTAAAAACCATGAAGGCCAGAGTTGCCATGGTGTCAGCTGATGTCCGAAGGAGATGCCGGGTGGCAGGGGGCTGGACTTCCAGTGGGGACCCTCTGCCTCACAGAAGAAAGTTCTCACTTAGAAACCTCTGTGTACACACACACCCACACACACCGTCTTACATGCAGACCCACACACACCCACACTGTCATGCACTCAACTATATTTAAAATATATACGTCTATTCCTTATGCCTTGCCCTAGCCAGATGGTAGAAGACAAAGAAAAGGAAACCAGGTGGACTCAGCAAGGCAGACTGGCTGCTTACTTCAGCGCTATTGGAATTACTTCCCGCTGTTGCCAAGGGAAATCAAAGCAAATGGATGTGACGTCTCTGCCAGTGGATGGCAGTACGAGGGGCTTACTTAACTCGCTTCTCCGTGCAACTTGATAGGAGAGTCCAACGTCTTAAAGTTGCTTATGTGTAGCACTAATGTTTCTTTTTAAATAGTTGGGGGAGAATGACCTAGAAAACCAAATTGCAGTTTGGTAGCCAAAATTAACTCTTGGTTTATTTGTCCTTTGTGTGTGAAAAGTCCTACTATTCTGTGCGTCAGACTTCCTCACAGAACTGTTGATTGGTTTTGGTTCTTCTTAGTACCATTGAGATCTTTCGAGTTGATACCAACGGCCTTAGCGGCAGCAGACTCTGAAATAACACGTTGTTGTTACACCTTTCTGGCCTGCATCTCTCTAGACTTCACTCTCCAGGGAGGAGTTCTCTTTACTTACTTTTTGACTCTTGCACACCATATGCACTAGGGATTCTGGAAACTTCTAGCATGACTGCAAAGTGGCCAAGAGAATAAAGTCCTTGATGATATATCACAGTATATCCCTTGAGCCTCACCTTATTGCCAGTGCTAGATTTTTTCTTTTTAATCTCTGTTTTTTGCTAAGGAAAACTTGAAAAGCTTATTTGGAAGCTTAAATGTTTTATCTTTTCACCATGGACCTAACCTCTCCAGGACACTGTCGGCACCTGGATGTCCAGCTCTCAAAGCAACTGATCAGACCGGACATCACGGTTCTTTCATCTTCCTTGAGGCACGATGACCTCAGCCCATAGTGCTGTGTGTCACTGCTACCCTATAAGCAGTTACAGCCTAGATGTCACTAGTCTCAAAAGGCAGCTGTGTACTTAATCTAACTCTGGGTCATGACCTGAAAAAAGCCAAAAATATCACTCTTTTCAGGAGTGGGAAAACAGAGGATGCCTCCCAAGTCTAGTGGCTTCACAAAACATCACCCTATCTTCCTCTCTCATACCCACTGAACTCATGTTACCCGACTGATTACAATACATAATTCAGAAACACCCCGGTGGGAATCGAGGGTTGACCTTTAAGGAAAAAGGTGAAGGTGTTTCTTCGGTGATGTTTCTAGGTTTCTTAATTTCTTTCTTTTTTTTTTTTTTTTTTTTTTTTTTTTTTTTGGGGGGGGGAGGCAGATAGGCCCAGGTTGATTGTGACCTAGTGCACCCAGGATCAACAGAGGCCCCACATGTATTCTGCAAGCTAACTCTAAGAAGGCTTGCAGCCCTCACACTCACACACACACATCTGACATCGGTCTCTGTCTACCCGCACTCTTAGCTAGCTGGCGCTGGCCTCAACTCCAAAGACTGCCTTTAGGACCATCCACTGGCCTATGCAAGCAAGCGGGGTGGTTATTGGGACAAATTGTATATTTTGTATATTCTGGGACCATCCCTTCAAGACACGTCTCAAAACCAAACATGGCATTTGGTCCGCACATGGTTGCTGCTCCTCCCTACCAGCTGGCTCCCCTCCTGCCCTCCTCTGAGTCTTTGACTCCTTGACTGTTACAATGCCACCCATGCATACTTGGGATGCAAAACTGAAGTCTTTCAAAGGAAATAATATAAGAAGCATAAACATATATATGACAGCAGCCTTCAAGATCGTTGGCATTTTGGGTTTTCAACTTTCTGCAACCTTTCTTTTCACTGCAATGTTGGAACTACTTGTCTGAGGCTAAAGGAACCTCCTTGCCACAAATACTATAGCTGCCAGTTGGAACATTCAAGGCGTTTTAAGGTCTGGCCCTTAGAATTTTCTTTTTTTTTTTTCAATTTAGACCAAAAAAAAAATTTAAACACACACACATACAAACAACAAAAAACGAAACAATACCCTAAGCATACACATAACACGTGCACAAACACACAGAAAACTTGTCCAGTTGCCAGAGGCAATTATGTATATGTTAGTTAGAGGGTATTAAAAAGAATCAGTTTTATTCCAAAGATTTAAAACTAGACATGACTTAGAAACAATTTCTGGAGCACTGCTTGCTGACAATCTCCTAGTTCTCTACTGCATTTGAGTGTGTGTTATGGCCAGTCCATCGGGGCGTAGCATGGGATTATATTTGAATGTGTGGTACATCCTTTTTGGATAAGGATGTGTGAGGGACCTCGAACCTCAGCTGTATTAAACTGTAGCACCTCCTGTCAGTGCACTAGAGGAAACTTTCAATGCCCACATTTTGTTGGTTCCTTTCTTTTCCTTTCTTTCCATAGCAGAGCTCCAGCGTCTGCGCACGCACACGCCAGTGGTGGCCTTAAGCCATGGCTGCCACAATTTATAAATGTTCTCTCCTGAGCTGGAACTGCACTTCCCTCTCAAAACGCTATTATTAAGGGTTTATAATAATTTAATATTTGAACTGACCAATGCAAGGCTCTATGAAAAAGAAAGTTTTGTGTTTTTTTATAGAATGCAAAAGAGTTATTGTTACTGTTCACTCCCTGTCCTCATCTGTGGTCTTACTAGAATGTGGCAGAACAAAGGTCCTTTGGTCCTCCTCGGTGTCTGAAATGTTTGGTAACTTCTCTCCTTTTTGTATCAGTGAGGTCCTTTTTAATCTGCTCCTGACCTTTCCCAGAGCAGGGTGCCTGAACCGCGATGATGGTGCTTGCTTGCTTGCTTCAGTCGTTCGTTGACTGTGAGAATTGGCCTGAGAATTCAGTGGGTGCTAAGTGTGTGGCTTTGAAACTACTGTTCTCTAGCTCAGCTTGACACCTGTGGATAATAACCAGTCCAGACTGTGGGGTGGGGATGGCCCTGGCCATTTTGGAAATGGATCTCTGATCAATTGTCCGTTATCGCTGATGTGCACAAGTTTTTCAAGAAAAAAAATCTGAGTGTACTTGGCTCCAGAGAGGACTGGTTATTTTAAGCGGTGCTTGAGGGGACATTTGAAACCCCTTTCTCATTTAAATCATTACCTCCTAACATTCCAGGGCATCGCAGGTTTGAAAGGAAAAAGCTGGCATGGTGTTTCTTGTGGCTGTCCTCTCCAACACACTCTACCCAGGGTTCAGAGTCTGATAGGTAGGAAAAGTGTTTCTAAGCCACTGACACTTTTCTTTATTTCAAGTTGTGCTTCTTTCTCTACCACATGGCTGCAAACCAGAGATGTGGAAACCTGAGTTACAATGCTGCTCCTAGCTACTGGCGTCCTGCCCCACTGTTGGTTCACTGGCCCACCTTATGCCTGGTGGTGATGAGTATTGTGTCCACAAGAAGAAATGTTTGGATTCCATGACAAAGCTGCATTTCGTAAAGATATTGGAGACCCCAAAACGATCTTCATGCTGACCATTGCCTTCTCTCTCTGTTTTCCCTGCAAAGCCTTGCAAATGCCCCTTCTCTCAATGCCATCTCCTCCCACCCGCACCTCCTGTGCTCTTGCCATCTTCAATTGCCTGATTATAACAGGGTAAAAAGACAGCCAACCTCACACATGATGAGAAGAACGGATTCCTGGTTTTCAGAAGTCTTCTTTGAAGCCAGAGAAGATTTTTTAAGGACTTTAGTTTGGTATAAGATTCCAGATTATCCGTGTCTGTATCAAAGGGGAAATAAATGGTTTTTTTCGGGTGGCTCATCCAGCACTTTCAGAACGTTCCACCCATGGCCTTCACTCCTGCATCCTATGGGAAAGCCAAAAGAAATGAACTCAAATTGCAGGAACAACAAAACCTGGTGATTAGTTTTGAAGGTTCAAAATGATTTCCTCTATGGGAGTCACTTTGTAAATTGTAAGATAAAGTATAGCGGGAAGTGCGTCTGACTTTTTATTTATTTATTTATTTATTTTGCCAAAGTGGTTATTTTGGAGAAGGAAAAACTTAGGGAAATTCAGAAAGAAGCAAACCATTGGATCATAACAATAACAATTGTTGCTTTCTTTGAAAAAAAAATTTAGGAGGGCCAGCATTTCTGGCCACAAATTTGCACCCCGCACATCGTAAAAGTGGAAATTCCATAAGTAGAGCCTGATTGAAGTTGGGTTTTGGGTGCTTTCCCTTTAATTTTTTGTAAATGGCAGGAGAAGGGGACCTGAAGGGAGGACTGGATTCTGGGTGTTGGGATTAAATTTCGGTAAACACGGTGATTTCTCAGTTTGGAAACCAGAGGGCCTGGCCTGAGGACACATCAATGCCTTCCTGAGGGCCTGTTTTCCTCTTGGAGGATTTTTTGGAAATACTTGAGATAGGACAATAGAAATGTGTCAAAGGAAGCAAAAACCATTTGTAAATAATGTGATTATCTCATGACTAACTGCCTGAGGCTCCAGGGTTTTCTCTTGCTTTTAACACTCTCCTAAGTCACCTGTCTTGGTTCCTATAATAGATCCCAGGAATGGGACAGACAAAGCTGCAATTAACTTTCTTACATGCATTGCATCCTTACAATATAGTACTGTATTCTTCAGATGTTCTGTATTTACATCTAAGTCCTCGGGAAACAGGTATCAAAAATTAGAAAGAAATTCTAGGCCATCACTTCACCAGTATCCCAAACAAGATACTCTGTACAATAAATAGGGCTTCCGCTCAGTGGTCATGAGGGAAGGTTGATGTGGTCTTGGTTTGGGGACTATTTGTACTATTTTTTTCAACTGTGAGCTTTGGAATCGTAAATCGCTTTGACTCCAGCTTCTGTCTACTGCCATAAAAAGGACCCCACGTCAGAATAATAAGGGTGGTGTGTATGCACACACTAAGACACGTGTGCATATACCTATTGTACCTTCACAGAAGGAAAACAGGCTACTGAAGTTTCGGAGGAGTAGCCACCAGTGCCTAATATCTTTTGGGGGGGATGGATGCTTATAATCGCCAGTATA